AAGCGGAGCTAAATGGGGATGCGAGTGAGGGAGCTGGACGGAGGTGCGGGGAAGGAGGAGGGAGTGGCTCGCTTCTTGATGCCAGCTATCAGAGAGAAAAAACATCAGCTGCTCAGGGGCGCGTAGACCCCCACGCATGGAGGTCCTGAACTCTCGCCAACTGAACCCCTCCAGTGCAAGCGCTGGCTGAAGAAATATTATTCAATAATTATGGGAAGCCAACCACCTGTGGATGATCCAGGGAAGGCTGCCGTAATGGCCCTGTCCAATGCATCAGTGTCCACGCCCTTCCCCGGCAGCGTGGCCTAGTCTACGCCGCGCTTCGCGTTCTTGCGCACGAGGTTGATCTTCGCCTCGAGCGGTTGACCCGAGGACAAGTATTCTGGCAATTCATCATTGACGAGTTTCCGCATGTAGTCCAGATGCTTGCTGCAGTCGGAAGTGCTTGGAGCTTGCGAAGCCACACGAGGTGTGAGTTCACGAACTTGTCTGGCCATTCTGGGGCCAAGGGCGGCGCCCGCCACGCACGCGCGGCGGGGATGTCAGCCACGGAACAGATTACGATGGGCTTGCGCCAATCGCACGTCATGAGCCATCGTTTAGCCTGAACACACAAATCACCATCGCCACTCCGAAATAACAGCAAATGGTGCAGTAAGGTGATACCCTTGACATGATCTGCTGTAAGATTCGGGGGCCGAGTATCTTTGAACCCCCACACGTTTCGCAAATGTTTCCAGAGGGGTGGCCGTTTCATCCTCTGGTTGAGTTGGGTGAACATGTCTGGGAGAGATAGCACATCCCTGGCATGGAGAGCTCGACTGACAAATGCGAAGGTGGCGTCGATCAAATCATGCGTGTGGCTAACAAGAAGGTAACCGAATTAAACGGACTGCAATCTAGTATGCTGCAACTGTGCCAACAACCAAGCAGCTGCCGCTAGCGTAATCGTGTTCTTGGTCTCCTTCACCGTGTTGTCAGCTTGTATGACCGGCCGCCGGGGCAGAAATCGTAGCTTCGACGGGGCTTCCACAAGCACATCCACCATCAGGGAACAAATCATATCTCCACCCTGGACTTGGTTTTCAAACACAGTGTAAAATACAGGATTATCCCACAGCGCCGGGCTGAGCACCCCAATAAGATGCGCGATCAACCTGGACCCACCCTTTTGGAATTGCGTGTTGGACAGCGCTTTCACCCTCGGGAGAATAGTTTTAACCTGATCCATCTTGTCCCAACCAACTGCCACTAGCTCTTGAGGGTGCCGCTCGCTTTCTGCAAACAGTTGGTTCATGGCCATCCTTTGCGCAGCTTGAAATTCATAATGCTGTCCAAGTTTTTGCAAGAGCGAGTCCTTCACGTACTGATCCTTCGCCTCTGTGATGAGCATGTGAAGAAAATCGCAAGCAAAACAAAAACACACACAGCGGGTAAACGGCCCCGATGCCGCCCGCAGCTGCAACCACGGCAGTTCTTGGCGCCAGACTTGCAGAAAATAGCTCTGAGTTGCGATGTGTGCAGGGTCCGCATTCTTCGACTTCCTGTCATTGAAAGACACAGCACAATAATCTTGTTTGCGGCCAGCTGGCAACCGCAGTCTGTCATTCATGGGCGAAGTGTCTGCGTGGGCCTTTGCGTAAGCAAGTAGCCATGCCCGCGCGTTCATGTACGTCAGCGGGCGCGAGGACACCCAGGGACCCAAGCCATGAGGCAGCGCAGGCATCTTGGCGCCAACTGCGACATTGCGGGCGTCTTGCAACGTGCACGGCCCATGGGGGTACGATCGAAGACGACAAGGGCGGACACCGAGGGTTCGGGATATTCGTGTTGAGTGGCACGCGAGCAGATAGGAGCGAACAATATTCAAATGACTGTTGTTCTTTTTGTTGCTGCTGCTGTTGTTGTAATAGTTGGTGTTGTTGTGTCTCTCTCACCCTCTCTCTCTTTATCTCTCTCTCTCTCTCTTTCTATCTCTCTGCCTCTCTTTCGCGGGATAAAGCAGACAATGTTAGGAAGACGAGCCTCCGTGTCCACCAGCGTGGATCCAAATCAGTTGACCATTGCACTGTGGACGTGAAAGCCACGCGGTGCAAGCTACGTGATGCACGCTTTGTCGTGTGAGCGATGTACGCTATGTGGGATAAGCGGAGTATGTAGTGTCATAGATCCCAACCTTGGTAGCACAGCATTCCAGGTGGCGATTGTTCGAGGGTGGCAAAGCCGTGAGGAGGATGAGGGTGCGGATGATGATGTTGATGATGATGATGATCATCATGTTGATGTTATTGATGATGATAGTGATGACGACGACGATGATGATGAGGATGAGGATGATGGTGACGATGGTGATGTTGGTGACGGTATTGATGGTGGAGATTGTGTTGTTGACGATATGATGATGATGATGCTGATGGTGATGATGACGTGTCTGTTGTTGATGATTTTGGCGACGCTACTGATGTTGATGTCGGTGGTGGTGTTGTTCATTATGATGTTGATGGTGTTGATGACGATGATTGGGTATATTGATGTTGAGGATGGTTGTGGCTGTGATGGTGATGGCGATGGTAATGTTGGTGGTATAAGAATTATGCGGGCGCTGATGATGCTGATGATGATGCTGATCGCGCTGATGATGAGGCCAATGACGCTGATGAGGATGATGATGACGACAATGACGACGACGATGATGCTGATGATGAAGTTGATGATCATGATGACGCGGATGCTGATATTGATGATGGTGATGATGGTGATGATGGTGATGTTGATGATGATGTTGATGATGACGACGATGATGATGATAGTTATGCTGACGAGGATGATGATTGAGATGAGGAGGAGGTGGAGGAGGAGGAGGAGGAGGAGGAATAGGACGACCGTTACATGTGACACATCGTCGGCGCTATTGGACGAGCTCTCATGGAACTCGTGTTGGCCGTCTTGGGGATGACTTGGTTTCCTGTAAGGCAGTCCTTGTTCATTGGGGCCCTCTTGGGCCGTCTAGGGGTTCTCTTACGCCGTCTTGGGGCTCGTGTGGGCCGTCTTGGAGCCGTCGTGGGCCGTTTGGCCGTTTGGGTCTCACGGGAGGCGTGTTTTGGGGCCGTCTTGGATGCATCTTGGCCTCGGGCGTGTGCATCTCTATCTTTTTGCCAGGGATTGTGGCCTCAGGAATGCGACTTCTTTGAATTTTGCTACGGGTTGTGGCCTCGAGAGTGCGAATCTGTAGTATTTTGCAAGGGGCTGCGGCCTCGAGAGAGGGGTCTGGTGCATGCGGCCATAGGTGACGAGAGAGGGTTAGGCCTAGAATATTACATTCTAGGCAGCACTTGGTATTCTAGCACGCCCCAATGTGCCAGAGCCCACGGTGGCGGACGTGGTGTGAGTTGGTTGTGAAAATGAAGCGTTCTCACGTCTTGTGTGTAATGTAAGTTGTGCAAGCTATGACGTGCAAGTTATGCGGTGCAAGCTATGTGATGTAAGCTCAATGCACGGGCGCAACGTGGGACGGCCTCAGCGGACCCACCAAGCGTACGGTGCGCCAGCGAGCGCCCACACGAGGCGGCAGCGGCAGCGTGGCGCAACCTCGGCGGACCCACACCACGCGCACGGGGCGCCCGCGAGCACCCACGTGGCGTCGCGGGGCTGCAACGCAGCGCTACCTCGGCGGATCCTCCCAGCGAGCGCGGCGCCCACGAGCACCCACGAGGTGGCACGGAGACGGCAACGTGTGGCGCCTCGGCGGACCCACCCGGCGCACGGGGCGCTCACGAGCGCCCACGAGGTGGCACGGCCTGGCACGGGCAGCAGCATGGCGCAACCTCGGCGGACCCACACCCAGCGAACGGGGCGCCCTTGAGGCGACACGGGGCGGCAGCGTGGCGCAACCTCGGCGAGCCCACCCGGCGCACGGGTCGCCCACGAGCACCCACGAGGCGGCACGGGGGTGCAGCGTGGCGCGATTTCGGCGGACCCAGACCCAGCGAGCGAGGCGCCCACGGGCACTCGCGGGGCGGCACCGGCGGCAGCGTGGCGTAATCTCGGTGGACCCACCCAGCGCAGGGACGCCCACGATGCGGCACGGTCTGGCAACCTGGTGCAACCTCGGCGGATCCACCCAGCGCACGGGGCGCCCACGAGGCGGCACGGGGCGGCAACGTTGAATGTCATCGGGGAATCAGTTGATGAAGAAACAGAAGAGAAGCCCCCAAAGTGCAAGCACTGAAGCACTGGTTGGGGAATGCTCATAAACTTTCCATAGATCCGCGCTGAGATCTTGGGTCTGCGTTGGACCCCCTGGCGGCGCTATGGCCCTGCGCTGATACGCGAAATTCGCGCGGACTTCCGGCAGTGTATATTCAAGCAGGTGTTACTGACGTTCTTTGCATGTTCTTCCCCAGTCTCTTCCGTAGCCAGTTGGCTCAAGCGCATTTGCGATCGAGAGCGCCAGCGAGCGGTTGGCCCAATGGCGTTCGAGGACTACAAGGATGACAACATCTTCGCGAAGATCATGAAGGGGGAGATTCCCAGCTTCAAGGTCTTTGACTCGAAGAACACTCTTGCCATGCAGCTTGCCTGGCGGCGCTCCGTATATGTACATCGGCACGGGAGTACAGTCGTTTTGAGAATCGTCGCGCAGGCGGTTTCCAGCAGCAGTTGAGTATTGCGCTAATTTTTGACGGTTGGGAGTATAAGGTATCACTAGATGTCCTCCTGATCTTTGTCAGTTTCCCCACGGAGCACAGATACCCATGCGTTTTGCATTAGCGCGCTCTTGCTATCCATCATTGAGCTTCCTGGAGCGATGGGTAGGAGGAAGAGGGCAAACAGGGGAGGAAGAGGAAGGGCCTGTAATAAATTGGTGTGCAGCTGCTGATATTGCAGAGCTGTTCGACTAGTGCCTCTTTGGATGGCTGTGTCCGTCTTTGCAAGCGCGAAGTTGTGTCCGAATCGCTATCCCCCAATCATGGGGTTGGCGGGTTCTCGATGCGTTTCCCATGGCGGAGGGCCATGTTCTTGTCATCCCCAAGGGCAAGTCCACCTGTTTCTTGAGCATGAGATTCAGCGAGGTGACCTTCTTCCGAGAGTTGCAGAAGGCAGGCGGCCGTGATCTTTCTCGATCTCCAGAGCGGCTGTCATTCGTCCTCCCACTGTGTGTACGTTAGATTTGTGTCGTGTCGACGCGGCGGCAACCCAAACGCGGGCGTTCAAGTTTGAATTCCGCCATTGGCCCAGAAGCCGCAGGCAGCGAAAGATCTAAGCAGTCGGAATGTCGCGATTCTTCCTCAAGGTTGAATGGTCCACGAGATGGCAGAGACCCACCTCGACGTCATCACGACATTTACCTGCCGTGCTATGGTGGTGCGCGTGTTCATGTGGCAGTCAAGCGTTATCGCACCACTCCGCGCTTGGCCTCCGCCAGAGTCGCGGTCCTTCCAGTCCTCCCGGCTTCCATGTCGTCGGCATTTCCCGCCCGCCAGTCTTGCATGCTTTTCCGTGCTTCTCATCTCTCCATCCTCTCCTCCTCTGGAAGGTGAGAACCGCGCAGACTTTCTACTTTCGGAGGTCCGCGCGAAATTCTTGGATTGGTGCTGGACCCACTTCTCTGGCGGGCGGAGCCCGCAAGGGGCTGCGCCAGAGGTGACGCTGAGGAGCCTAATCTGACGCGCGGATATCCGAAAGCTCGAGTATGTGAAGATGTTTCTTTCCCCTGCACTGGCAAAGACGCTGAGATAAGGACCGCTTTTGGGTTGAGGAGGGGCTCTGGTTTGCGGACCGTTTCTGAAATCGAGGTCGGGGCCGTGGACCAGAAGAACCATTCGTTCATTGTTCGGCGAGTCTTCTAGTAGCACCATGACTACTCGCATGCTTTCCGCCCCCATCCTCGACCTGCCGCACCCAGCTCCTTTTCTCCCCCCCCTCTCCAGACATCCATCGTTGTTCTTTTCACAGCGTGGACCCCGGACTCCTTTCCTGGAACCGGCGTTTCTTGACGGCCCCGGGGCCCGGTGGGGGCCCCCAGAGGGAAACCACGACGTCGCACGCACTTCTCCCACGGACTTGACTCGCCCTCACTGAACACTCACCTAACTCGCACGCGCTCAACTCGCACGGCATCTGGGCAAGCTGCAAGCCCTCGCTCTTCACCCGTGCCAGCTGAATTCGCACGATGCTGGGCTGGCACCAGCTGAACTCGCACGACTGAACTCGCACGGAGCAGGCCTCTTTCGCACGCGCTGAGCTCGTGCGGCGAGCTCCGTGCGGGTTCAGCTCCGTGGAGTCCAGCTCCGTGGGAGTCGCGAGTTCAGTCGGGTCAGGAGGCCGAAAACAGCAACAAGAGCACCCGTCGTGCGTTCGGCCACGGCGCAAGGAGGCCTGGGTCCCTGCCTCCCTCCATGCCGCCGCAGATCGCTGGCGCGGTGAAGAAGGCGCTCGAGGCGGACGGCGTGAAGATTGTGTCGAACATGGGGGAGGCCTCCCGTTGTTCCCTCTGGCTGCTGGGAGCGATGGGGCTGGTCATCGGGGAAATAAAACTGATGACGATGACGAATCTGTCGCGGCATCGTGCCGACGCCGATCTTGGTCATGGTCCATAGACGTCACTGTTCCGCGAAAATGACGAATTGACGAGGATCAAGAAGGAAGACACCACGATCGGCACCGACGTTTCCATTTTTGGTGCCTCGCTTTTCTTCTTTCTCAAATGATGAAGAAATACAGTGGCCCCAAGAAGAAACACATACACGAACATAGGCTGTTGCCGACTTCTTGGGTCGGAGCGCGCCAGGGGTGGCGCCAGAGGCGCCGTCAGGGGGTTCCAGCGCCGAACCCAGAAAGCTTTGCGGACCTCCGAAACAGCAAGCTGTTGTAGTCCCTTGTCTGAGGTCGGTGACGAACCTGCTCCTCCGTACCCTCGCCCTCCTCGAATGTCGCCCCTGGATTCCTGGAGCGCCTTCTGCTCGGGGCGTTAGATCGAATCCTGGTGTGGCCACGAGCGCACCCCGGAGGACCCAACAAGAGGCACAAACACAGGAGTACATATCCACGAACCTCGAACCGCTTTCCCCTCTTCCTCCTCCTCCTCCGATCCGCATTCCTATGTTAGGATGCAACTCCTTGGAGATCTCATTCAGCGTCAGCGCTGGTATATCCGTCGTCGAAACGGGCGCAGATCCAGCACAATCCTGGCGAATTCCGTTCAATCCCGTGGAATCTTGCCTACTCTTGGGCGTAATCCAGCCTGATCTGGCTTCATGGCCCTCGTCGGGCTTGATAGGTGTTGACCGTTTTTACGAAGGCGTCCCAGGGAGTTGTTTCCAAACTCGTGCTGCCCCCCTCGTGCGCAAGCAAGGCCCACGCTCTCCTGAGACATTCAGGGATCCAACAGCCACGGAGTTCGTCGCTGGTTGTGCCCCCTGTACGCATCTGCCGTCGCAGCGAGGAGGAGAAGAAGAGGAGGAGGAGGAGCAGGAGGAGCGGGAGGGGGCGAAGAGAGAATAGTGAGGGAGGACGATGGAAAAGGAGCACAGTGGAGACAACGATAGAGGAATCAGTTCAGACTCGGCATGGGCTCGCCTGTCCTTAAGTGCTTCTCTATGTTTGTTCCTCTGGCGTTCATCGAGTAAGCACGTGATCTTGTGGGAGAAAATAGCTCCTTTCCTCATTTGGGTTTCCTTCTGGTAGTAGCTTAACTGTAGCGCCGTTACGAATCCTCTCAGCTGACACTAGCATTGATAGACTTCGTTGCAGGGCGCGAGCTCAACGGTGGTTTTGCTATTTCGTGGGCCGTTTTCGTTTTGATTTCGTTTTGCAGCAAATGCGGAGCGAAGACAGTTCGTGGGAACACGAAAGCAACACGAAAACGGGGAACACTTTCTAGCTCGCGCCTGCTGCCTCGTCCCCCTCTGTCGCGAGGGTCAGCATATCTGGCACGGCGCGGATATGTGCATCGGCACCGGTCCAGACCTCTCGAGACGGAGAGCGGCCATTTTGAGAGCAGCTTGCTCCATACACGACATCCACTAGGGCCCTCTATTGTAAACAAGCTCGAGAAGTCGCCCTGTGTTTTAGGACGAGGAAGCAGCAGGGGAGTGCAGAGCAAGAGGAAAAGCAGCAGCATCAGCAATCACCAGAAGGGCCCGCATTTCGAGCATCTCGCAATGAAGAGAGGTATCCTACAGTTTGTTGTCCGTTTTCGGGCTCCCGACGTCCTCCCCGGGCCGCGGGGCTGACAAGCTGGTTCGGTTCCACAGCAGACCACCTTTTAGCAACCCTCGAAAAAATGCCAGGGAAGTCTCCAGTTTGCAAAAATGTCTGGGGTAACGCTGTCATCATTCCAATTTGTTCTGCATGAGATGTATTAAGGAAAGAGCGTGATCCACCGCAGCTTTACTGTGGAAAATTCGCCCCCCTCTTTCTCCGGGACCCGAGGGTCCTCCAGAAAATTGAGGGGGTCATTACCAGTTCGACCCCCCCCTGTCTCCAGAAAGTTGGGGGGGGTCACTATCGGTTCGACCCCCCACCCCACCCCAACCATTCGCCGCTGGCAAACGATTCCCGGGTTGAGCCGCCCAGTGACCTCCCCGGGTTTTCTACCAGCAGCGGCAGAACACGCTCTTTCGCATGAAGTGATGTTTGTATTCCTTTGCTCGGGATACCTGCCAATATGGTTGCATCCGTCATGTGTTGTGGTAGGGTGGAGAGGAGGAGCGAGGAGGAGGACTGGGGGAGGGGGGAAAAGGAGGTGGGGACGAGGAGGGACGGATGAGGATGGCGAGACATCATGAAGAGGACCTGCCAGCTGCCTCAGAGAGGCTGCGGGCCAGACGGTGTTCCACACCCACTTCCACATCGTCCCCATGTTCACAGGCCCCCACGCCAGGGCCCTGGCGCCGCTGATCCGACGCACACTCCGATTCGATCCGGCTTCCCGATTCTTGCCGGGCAGGGTGAGTCAGCATCGAAGCGGGATATTTGATGGTGGGGTTTGTCGGACGGGGTTAGGACGAGGTTGATATTGATTTAGTCACACCCCTTCGATGCATCAGCGTCATTCGCACGTACATGCTCGCAGCTGTCTTGGCTGCGATCCGGAAAAAAAGGGGCGAGCGCCCGCCCGTCCGCTGGCCGGCCAGACCTCTCTCTTAGTACCCCGACTGCAGTCACAGTTCACCGGCGCAGTATCACATGTCTCGCCATGGCTACAAGAAACAAATCACACATTCACCATTTGAACTTGAGCGAACGGTTGTTACAGGAAGAACAAGCGGAAAAACAACGTGATGTACAAGAACACGGTTTGCCGATCAACCGGGCTACGATAGCTTCATTCTTCACGGAGAACTGGCAAAAATATGTGTTACCAGCCGAAAGTTCTATCATCGATGAAGGTGGTGTCACCAGAGAAGGAAACTATGTGCTCACCTTCACTGGATGATGTATGAAAGAAGCAAGATACACGCCACGGTTTGAGCGTGAACGCTCCTGGAGCAGATTTAGCCGATTCACGTCGGAGAACCGAGCCCACGCCCCCATTCTAAGATCTGCTGGAACATATCCTTCGACGACGAGCTTCGCCCGGACATTCTTTAAGGGCCAAGGGCGACAAGGAGTTCAACTGGTACGAAGGTGGCGGCCAGGTTCCTGTTCCGATCGCCGATCAACCCGAAGTCCCAATCGGCCTCTCGGACGGACGTGGAGTCGATTCAGTCGGAAGAGGACTTTTCTCGCACATCGACGCCGAGACCTATCGCTTACCGCGACGCGCGCCAGCCACGCGAAGGAGGGGGCGAGGCCTGTGGCGTTAGATCCCGCCTCCCATTGGGCGGCTTTCGGCTTCCTACGCAGGCGCCCCTCGCCTGTGGCGACGAGGCCGCGAAGCCGCGATTTCATTTGATGATTCGTTGGGGTGGGGCTTGGAGGAGATCATGGAAGATCGCGGGCAGTCCTGTCAGGGCAGCTAGCATGCAAAGACGCGAGACGGTTAGTCTTTCTGTGGCGTCACCGCTCGGCAAGCGGATCAGATCCGACGGCGTTCCCGAGGGCGGCCCTGCGCCCGCTCGGGGGGGGGGGGGGGGGCGGGAGCTCTGCGCCGGGGTCTCCGCCGCATCCGCCCCAGACGAGCCATCGACCATCGACGTCGGCGTCCGAGACGCCCGACCCGCGGACTCGCTCTCCCCGCGAGACGAGCGCCGAGAGGGGCAGGCCCAGGGCCCCATGACCGCGCTTGGAAGCGTCCGACTTGTCCAACTTATCGGGTAGGTCGAGTGCATTCAGCATGCGCATTCATGCCCTGGGTGCCAACTACGGACCGAGATGTGCCGCTGTTCTTGAGCACCAGTTCGTCGGGGCGGTGCAAGAAGCCAGTCTGGCGCGGATGCTTGGATATCTGCGGTCTCTGCAATCTGAACTTCCCGCGTCCTGTTTGCGCCGCCCCAAGTTCGCATCGCTGCGCGGGCCCATGCGTGGACGAGTGGCGAGAGCTGAGGAATGCAAGCGTTTTGAGATCGCGGGGGTCAGAGAGTTCTAGCTGAGATGCGCGAGCAACTGCGACAGATGGAGTTGCAGCGACAAGCGGTTGTTATTTTCCAGTTGGAGCGAGGCCGCGAGGTTCTTGGAAGGGGCGGGGCGCCAGCGAGCGGCGGCGGCCGAGCAGGCCTCTGCAGCGACGGTGGAGATGAAGGAGCTCGCATATAGGCTGGAGATAACACTTGCATCTGAGCGCCATGCGCAATTCCAGGAAACCATCTTGCCGAGGAAGCCAGGCGCGCCGTCCTGGGGGCGTGTGAAGCGCAGCGCACGACCATGTCGCAAGCGGAATTGGAGCTACGAGAAGCAGAGGATCGGAACGTTCGTCTAGCCGCGGAGGCAGCCACTGCCACCAAGCAGGCCGAGGCCGATCGCGTCGTCGCAAGTGAGAGTTATGCTCGGCCCGCGGCCGAAGTGCAACGCGCTCGGGAAGGGGCGCAAGTAGTCGAAGCGCACGCCGAGCAGAAGGTCTCTGCCAGCGCTCGCGAGGCGGAACAGAAGGCCGCCCATATAGTGAGGAACGGGGGAGCTGAACGGGACAAGCTGTGTCGCAAGTTGAATGATCATCAGACGTAGCGGGGCCCACGTGGAGCGCCCTCTGCTGCGTTGTCGGGGGCCGGGTCGACAGCGGATCCACATGCTGCCGTTGCGAAGGTTCCCCCGTCGCCAGCTCCGCCCGCAGCGGGGGGGGCCGCCTCGCAGAGGAACAAAGAACGTGACCCCTATTTGGGGGCCTCGTGGTGCTCGTTGCGACATGGGGTGGCTTCTCGCGACCGCGCCGCGCGCGGCCGGGGCGTTTGCGGCGGCCATTCCGCCCTGGGCGGCGAGGCGCGCGAACGCCGCCGCGGCAGAGGTCGACTTCGAGAGGAAGCGCGGCTGGGGAAAGACTTCGCGAAGAAGAAAGTGAAGGGCGCGAGGCGAGAGAGAAGCTCGAGGAACAGAGCGCCGCTACTTATGCGCCGAGGGCTGGCTCTCTCGACTGCTCATCGCAGCCCCTATCCGCCCGCGGCCGCGCCTCGGGAGCGGGCGATCGCCGGGCGGAAAGCACGGAGTCGACGAGGCTGCTTGAGTTCGATGAGGCCGCGAGGGCCGAAGGTGGGAGACTCGAGGATGTACTCGAGCAGGCTATGCAGCCCGAAGATGACCTCGCTGGGGCGCGCGCTGAACGAAAGGGGCAGAGCAGATCCAAGAGATGCGCGAGAAAAGAACCGAGGCGGCTGTCGCTGTGGCGCGACAGAGTCAGGGCAGAGAGAGCAAGGCTGAACATGATGCTCGGGGCAGAAAGACACGAAGTCCAAACCGGAGCCACTCCGAGCCGGCGCTGAAACTTTTCTCCCAGGATGCACGCCGCCAGGGCCGGGGGGCTTTGCGGGCGTCTCCAGGCAGAAAGATAAGAGGAATGAAGCGACTCCCCCGAAGAAGGCACTTGAGCCGAAACAGGCAGGTTCAGGACCTCCATGCGATGTCGGCGGAGACGATGGCGGCGATGACGAGGGCGACGAGGGCCCCTGCCTTGAAGACGAAGGATGCCCGACGCCTCATGGGGAAGGGGGCGCCGGCGCGGCGGAGGGCCGCCGGCGGGCGACCCGGCCGGAGGCGGTGGCGGCGGCGGCGCCCTTTTTCCGTTGATGGGCGCGTGTCCTGCCGCCGCTCAGCGCTGGAACGACGTCGGCAAGACTGAGGAAATAGTCTTGGCGGCGATCCCCGACGCTGCTAACTGCAGGCGGTGGCGGCGCAACGCGGTCAGGACTGCGGCGTCGGCCGCGCCGAACTCCGAGGACGCCGTCAGCTCGTTCGTGGACGCGTTTGACCTTGAGAACGTCGAAGCGAACAAGCTGAAAGACTCTTGTTAGTTCGCCCGGCTTGACCCGATGATTGCGGCGGACCTCGCGGCGAAAATCAGCGGGATAGTTAGGGGCGGGCGGGCCTCGATTCAGCTCCGCCGCCTTGCGAGTGAAATAGACAGGTTAGACATATCCTCGCAAGCCGCCAGGAATGCGATGAAAAAGTTCGCGAGATCCTGCGCATCGTTGCCGCCCGCGCGACCGCTCGCCAGGGCCATGGCGAGGCGCGCGGGCGCGCGGGCCCAGCGGGGATCAAGATCCGCGGCGCGGGCGAGGAAGCAGTCAGCGACCTATTCCACTTTGCAAAGAATTGGTGAGGACGCCCAACGAGACGGAGGAATTGAGCGACTCTGCCCGCCCCGCCACGCAGGGGCATCTCCGCCGCCAGATGAAACAGTGTCCTCGCATGCAATGCGCTCCTGCGATCTACGATCGCCGTGGCGACGAGCGCGGTGCTGGGGCGAAGTCCCACGAGCGGTTGCCATCGAGGGTCGGTGATTTCACGCGCAAGGAGCGAGGGCAGATCAACCGTGAAAAGCAGCTGAGAATGTCGAATGCCCGCGGCCTTCCTACGGGGGGCGCGGGAGGCAGAGGGTGGGGGGGGGCGAGGTGGCCGGCGAGGGCGGGCAGAATCTCCGCACGAACGGCGGTCGCCTTAAGAAGTCGGCCCCATGCAATGAGTTCCTTCAGGGCGCGCCCGCGCGCTCGAGCGCAGCGCCAATGCCTGCGCCCGAAAGGAAGCGGTGGGCCTGCCGCCCCAGCACGCGCCGCGCCTGCTCAGGCGGGCAAGGGCGGCGGCAGGAGCAGCGGGGGGAAAAATGCAGATAGAGGGAAAGGTGACAGAAAGGGCGAATATATAGAGCGCGGCAGGAGCCGGGGGCGCCCCGCTGGCCAAACTAACGACGGCGGCATGGGCCGGAGCCGTTCGCAGAGCCGCGCCTCCAGCATCAATTCCAAGAAGAACGGGGCATGCCATGCATTTAACCGCGGCGCCTGTCCCTCGTCATCCGAGAAGCGCCCTCGCGAGGACAGGCAGGCCGCGCGGGAAGAGAAGCTCTCTCGCGACGAGTGCGAGGCGCTGCGCCCGCGACGGGCGACGACAAGGTGGGGGCGGCTAGAGCGAGGAGACGCGACAATGCTGGATGCACCTGGCCGGACAGACCTGCCCATTCGGAAAGGACTGCAAGGCCAGAGCAATGCCGTTGGACATCCGTGACCCGATCGGCTGGCATTCGGCGACTATGCCATCGGCGGCGGCCTCGGGGGGGCCAGGGCGGACCGCTGCCGCCATGCTCCGAACTTGGGGGCGCTGCTGCGCGAAGCCCCCGAAGTTTTCCGCGCTGGATCAGGGTTTTACGCGCCGCCATTCATTCGGCAGAATGGCCGCCCTCGATCGAGGCGCTCGCGGGGATGGACAGGGAAAGGATAAACGGCGCATGCGTGCGTGATGATGACTGCCTGGCTGCGCCGGCACATGAACAAGTTAGGCACGCGGAC